TCCATGGCCTACTACTTGCCTTCTTATCGAAAGCAACCGATGCATTTTTAAATGGGGATATATGAATTTTCCTGGTTTAGTATTTTTTTTTAATAATTTGAGTTAGGAAAAAGATATTAAGATGCGGTTTGCGCAGGCTTATTGGTTGGTCATTTGTCTATTTTCTAGTCTAAAAAAAGTCATATCATCGCATTTAAATTTTTTGAGAAAATCCAATATTTTGGTTATAATATCGAATAACGCCCTCTATCGGCGGCCGTGTAGGTCGCAACTGTCATGATTACGAGAAACCTAAAAGCCCAAGAAATGCTCTTTTCAATGATACCAAATTTATCCAAATCCATTAAGCCGTTTCGAAGTTACAGGCATTTATTTAAAACAACATTCAAATACCCCCCACCACTTTATTTCGAAAGATAGAGAAAAATTGTTTTTACAAAAAATATTCGACTTTAAGTTAACATTAAAACGCAAATACTTTTTTGTTACATTCATTGGGGAAAATCGCGAGAAACGTAACTTTATGTAATTCAAGATGGTGGAAACGCCCACTGGCGGCCATCTTGGAAACTTGAAAATAATTTCCAGCATTTTCCCTTGCCCACTTTACCTATAAAATTTTTTACCGTAGCTCTCTACGATCATTAGTTTCTGAGATACAGCCGCTTACCTCGCTTATTTGCCCACCCTGTACATTTACAATGGCCTACTTAAACAATTATGACCCCATTTTGGGGTGTATGATTAACTCGATTATACCCATATTTCTTTTCTTTTTAATCTATCGTGGGTTAAGTTTAGTTGAATTACTTGAAACAATTTATTGATTGGATTCTTTGTGCAGAAGAAAGTTGTCGAATTTGGAGATAAATACTCTCATAACAGCATTCTTGTCCTGAAAGCAACACAAGAAGGTGCACGCAGAGTACTTCTGATAGGATCTCGTAATTCTCCTGTGTGTATAAGAGATGCTATGACTGGATTGTATATGAGAACTATGGAAGATGTTATATCTCCTACTGTTTATTCTTTAATTTTGAATAAAAGTTTGCTTTATTGTGGAACTACTAATCATGACATCTTAGTATATTCTTTTCATGTAAGTAAATTTAGAATAATAATGTAGTAATTATTCTCAACCATCAGTGAAGTATTTTCACCTGATCAGATGTAAAGGAGGAAATTAATATTTTATATAAGTAAATTTAATTTTTAAATAAAGATTAAAAAGCTAGCAATAGACAGTCATCAAACTATGTACAATATTATTGTTAATTCAGAAACTATTAGAGACGAGTAGAGATTGTTAAATTAGGGTGAAGTTACGTAATTTTGCATGCAGTTGTTCACAGAGAGAAATAAAAAGTATATAACTTTGTCTTAACTGAACTATCTTTTTCTCTGATAGTTTTCGAAATAGCAATGTTATCGCGCCCAATTTAAAACACCTGTACGTTCAGTTTACCTTAGAATCTCTTTAAAGTTGCATTCATTTGAAATATAAATAGCTATCTAAAATTTTCATTTGGTTCGTAAATAATTGAAAATGCTCACTTTCATGTTCATTTGTAGGATGGAAAATTAATTCATAGGTATAAAGCAACTGACTCCAAAGGGATTGGCTGTATGAAAATCGATAGAAACTTATTATTTGCTAGTTGTCATAATGGTAATATTTATGTTTATGACATTAAAGATAATACATTTATATCCAGCATACAAGGTCCAGGAGGTGTAATACTATCTATGGAAGTATTTGAAAATCAGGTAAAGATGCAAGAAATGTTTTATTATTTTTTTTATTACTTCTATTTTTTCGCATATTTTTTAGGTCGGTAACTAGCTGTTTGCCCACTCTATTTATTTTCGTGCGGTAATTTTGTCGTACGCGAATTGCCTATAAAACACGCAAAATTTAAATACCTACACACTCGAAAATATTATTTTTATTACTTGTGACGAATAAGTCCTATCTTTTCGCATGTTTTTTAGGTCGATAACTAGCTGTTTGCCCACTCTATTTATTTGCGTGCGGTAATTTTGTCGCACACGAATTGCCTATAAAACACGCAAAATTTAAATACCTACACACTCGAAAATATTATTTTTATTACTTGTGACGAATAAGTCCTATCTTTTCGCATGTTTTTTAGGTCGATAACTAGCTGTTTGCCCACTCTATTTATTTGCGTGCGGTAATTTTGTCGCACACGAATTGCCTATAAAACACGCAAAATTTAAATACCTACACACTCGAAAATATTATTTTTATTACTTGTGACGAATAAGTCCTATCTTTTCGCATGTTTTTTAGGTCGATAACTAGCTGTTTGCCCACTCTATTTATTTGCGTGCGGTAATTTTGTCGCACACGAATTGCCTATAAAACACGCAAAATTTAAATACCTACACACTCGAAAATATTATTTTTATTACTCATGACGAATAAGTCCTATCTTTTCGCATGTTTTTTAGGTCGATAACTAGCTGTTTGCCCACTCTATTTATTTGCGTGCGGTAAATCTTACTTGTCGCACGCGAATTGCCAATAAAACGGCCAAAATTTAAATGACAGTTATGTATGTCAACAAATTGAATAAAAATATGTGGACCCCACCGGAGCTTCGCTCCTGGACTTTAAGTTTTCATTACAGTCATAATAAAAAATAGTATGTGCAATTCGTGCGGTTGTCTATTGCCCACTTGAGCAGATGAGCGCACTCACTTCGTTCGTGTGTTCAACTCCGCTCTCGTGGGCAATAGACAACTTACCGCATTTTTTGCACAATATGCTATTTTAAAAAGTGACATTTAAATGACAGTTATTTATGTCAACTTAAACTGAATAAAAGTATGTGGACCCCACCGGGGCTTCACCCCTGGACTCCAAGGATTTTATTGCATTCGTAATAAAAAATAGTATGTGCAATTTGTGCCCACTTAAACGGATGAGCTCAACTCCGCTCTTGTGGGCAATAGACAACTTATAGCACTTATTGCACAATATACTATTTTTACATTTATAAAAAAAAATAATGTTTTAACATTGAAATTGAGAATTTGATGCTTTTTTAGTTTTTTACTTTACAACATTTTTACATTTTTACTTTACAATAAACATGTTGCTATTTTATTTGAATATATTTTCATTTTAACATACTTATTTGCAGCATAAAGTAGGTATTCTTCTCAGAAATTGGGAAGTATGGTGTGTTATGATATTTGTAGATATAGTTCACATTTTAAAATCAGCAGTAATAATTATAAACCCTTTCATAAATTTTATTTGTAGTTGTTTTTTATTTAAAATTTGTTTGTTTTATTGCATAATATGCAATAAAGTAATCAACATTTTTCCTATTGAAAGACACATTGTTTATCCTTGTCTTGTATATGCATATGCATAAATTTATCCGTCTTAAGACATATTTAGGTTGGAATACAATAGTATAGGTATAGGCTATTTAAATACTCATTTTAGTGAATTAGTAGTATTGGATCATTATTAAAATGGATAGTCTTCATTGTATATGTAGGGATGCACAAACATTAACAGCATATTCTATCAAAAAAAAAAAAGAAAAAGCCTATATAAATATATATTGAAAGATTCATATAAGGTCCGTGAATGTCAAAGGCAATATTGAGACATAAGAATTCCTAATATTAGGGTATTCATAAACATTTATAGAAACTTTACAGAGTTTAGATTATCTAAAGCCTGTGAATAAAATAGGATTAAGCAACACAGTATGCAGAAGAGATAATCTAATTTAGCAAAAATTAGATGTGTACCAAGGTTGAGTACATGGATAGCCGCACAACTGCAGGTTTCACTTCAACTATTTGGCGTACCCAGCATTTATATTTAATAAAGTCAAATCGTTTCCAACCCGTTTAAGATTTCTCACAAAGAAGGTTAGCATTTTGCCACAAACTGTTAGTAGACTGGAAATTATGGCCAATTTTGACCAACAAAATTTTGTGGACAGACGTGGCAACCTTTACCAGAACCCCTTTACTCATTTGGTCCCACAAAAATCCACTTGCTATTTGTCCACATGATTTTCAACATGAGTTCCATGTAAATATTTGGAGTTAATTTGGATTAATTAATTGGTTCTCATATTTTACCTGATCATCTGAACACACCATTATTTATGATTTTTTGTATAATAATTTTAATGAGTTGACATTTGTTATGTCGATAATGAAGCATTTTGATATAATGTTTATAAAAATTTTGTTTTTCATTTTTCTTTTTGAAAAAATGTTATTGTCTGTAAGTATGTGAAAACTTGAAATTATCAAATATATTTAAAATATACCGATTATTTGTCTGAAAGGTCATTGAAGTTTCGAGCCATTCTAGATGAATTGTAATTTGTACAGTTTGGCCATTGATTGAATGCTACATTGTCCTGAATTTTTTCATTTTTTTTTGTTGCCTTATTGCAGAAACTGCATCCTAAAATCCATCATTCAGTCCAATTCTATTCAGATCCTCTGAGGTCTTAATTAGGCCTGGGCAAAAAACGAATATCAGTTCAAATTGATTTTATTTTTGAATCGATTTATCGATTCACAGAAAAAATCGAATTGGAATATCGAATCTAGTGTTATATTTTCTCAGGTCTACATGAATAAAACATGCTTTCCTAACATTTCTCATTATGAAGTGAAGAGAAATCAAGTACAATATGTTTCCATTGCCGCCATAGGTGTGATTGTCACTAAACCAAGGAATCTTCTATTGCATTTTACTCCACAGTACATTTTTACTTTATTCCCCTTGTTTTACCTTCAGCCAATCTGAATAATATGAATGCTTGCCTTCTTTCCGTTTAGCTGCTGGTTAACTGACTTATCAGAAGGTCTGATTTGTTATTCTAGGAATAAATGGGGCAACTCAGAAAATGTGCGAAAAATTTATTTTGTTTTTCGGCAGTGTTGACATAAGTGAGTAATGTAATAAGCACATTGAAACTTGTATATGTTGAGAGATATTTATGTAAAATTTTACCCCTGTAACCTATTCTAATTTCTTATATAAGTTTTGGGAAATTTTTACATACTTCTAATAGTCTTTCTCAGCATTACAGTGACATAAAGTTGTATAAGCAGAAATGTAATAATAGAGATGTGGCTAAAAAAATTTGAGTGCCTACTAACGATTCTTTATTTAGAAATCACCTATGCTTCATTTTTTAAATATCATCAAGTTAATGTTTAGTAATCTTTACTGCCATTATGTCTCAATAAAAGAGAAGAGGCCCACATTCTTGGATTTTCCAATTCATTATTTAATAGCGGGGCTCACAATTAGTTTTCTTAATTCTTTGAAAAATTGTACTCTAATATATTATTTCTAAATGATATTAAAAGATTTAATGTTAAAAACCTAAATTCTGTAGAATAAGTTTGACTAATGTTTTTAAATTAGTGATTTTAATTTTTAGGTCATCATTGGTACAATGTCGTTTAAGTTCATATCGCTATTAATTCCTCAGCATATTCAGCAACGTAAAATATGTAATTAAGTACAAAATTCGATTTACTTATCTTTGTTTATATGATGTACATATTTTTATATATTTTTTAAATAAATTACTAATATTGTTTTCATCTAATAAATTAAGTAATAATTTGCAATTCTTGCATATCTATTGTAAAATTGTTTTCATAATAAAATTGTAGTAACTATAAATTTTATTTCATTCAATGTTTAAGGCTTTTAAAAGCCAAGTAAAACAAAATCCGTTTGCTCTGTACGTTATGATCTATACACTGATCAGTGATTTAATATCAAGTATTAGTAAAATAAGAATATAAAGGGAAGTATAACAATTAATGTGTGTTTAATTTATACCTGTGCTTATCCATCCATTACTGATTATATTCTTCTAGTAAGTATAATTCTAAAATTTGCAATTTATAAGTAAAAATTCCTCAACAACCAAATACAAAAAAATATGCATGGCGGTCACATGAAAATAACTGTCCTCATGACCTTATTTTTTTCCATTGTTCTATGAAATGGAAGGAACAAAAATAACGCTCGAGATAATGCGAGTGCTAATTAGTTGAATAGAATGAAAAATTACACCAATCAGAAACAGAATGTCGTGTTTTAATGTAATCTTGAACTTACTGTTTTAATTTTACCAAAATTTAATTGACAACATGAAGGAAATAAAATTACCGTCCCAAAGTTTCTGATCACGTGGCTTGTAATCATTTAGGAAGACTCTGTAGAAGAGAAAGACGATTGCTTGCTTGCTCATCAGCTAATAATCTCCAAAATATTGTAGATTTAATAAAAAACTTATGTTGGGCTTATAGTAGAATAATCAAACCTTTTTGTTGCACTAATATAATATATGTATTGTATTAAAGATTTAGTTTCAAATAAACTTTCATTACTTTCCATATGAAGTAATGAAAATTGAAAAAAAAAAGGTAAAAAATTTTCATTTGATGTAAATCTTAATGTAGATATAGCTATTGGAAGATGCTGTAAGTACATACAGGGTGTTTTCAAAAGAATTTGCACAAATGGTGCAGGTGAATCTATGGCCAAAAAGAAAATGTTTTGCATAAAAAAATGACCTTAGTAAAATGTTCACCACTTGGGAGATTCAGCCCCTCGTTTCCAAAAAAAATTGGAATAACTGAATTTGAAAACCAAAAAAGGTATAATAGTCAAATTTTACACAAATTTTCTACTAATGCATACCCAATTACTCAATAGGTTTTTGAAAATTTCTGACCCTTGGAGGAGCCTCCCCTCAACAACTTTTGTTATTTTGTTTGACAAAATTGACAAATACGTATCAGATAGTCTGGTTTGTTTTAAAACTTTTACCTCTATCACATTTTTTGCTTTAAAACTAACCATTTATTAACAGAAAAATTCATTATCATTCGCATTATAAATCGCACAATTGCAACTACGAAATTTTAAGCAGGCGGCTGTCATACTAATTTCTGTTAGTAGATTTGCATGGTTCTTCTTGCTGCGGCACAGTTTTTCTGACATTCAAAAATTACATGTAGCATATCAACATGTCAACATTATTAAAATAATTTACCATAATCGTTGACTGAAGTAGAGAATATTTCAATCAACGTCATAATTCTTCCTAAGTTATTAAAAATAATAAAATTATTGATTAGCAAATCGAAGAAAGCGCTCGCAAAAATCACAAAAGATCTAATGACAGAAATTACCATGAAAGCCACCTACTTAAATATTTCTTAGTTGAATTGTGCGAGTTGTAACGAGAATGATACTGAATTTAATATTTTTGTTAATAAATGATTAGTATTAAAGTAAAAATGTAAGAGGTAATAGTTTTAAAATATTATCTGATACATAGTTTTAGTCAAACAAAGAAGTTGTAGCAAAAATTAACTTGGGGATGCTTATTTCACCCCCCTCCAAAGGACAGAAGTTTTCAAAAAATTGTTGATAAGTTGAATATGCATTGTAAGAAAATTTGTGTAAAATCTGACTACCTTTCTCTGAAATCTGAAACCCTTTTTGGTTTTTAAATAGCAGGCGCTATTTCATATTTTTTGGAAACTGAGAGACTATCTCCTATGGGGTGAACATTTTATCAAGGTCATTTTTATGGAAAACGTGTTCTTTCTAGCTGTAGATTCACCGGTACCATTTGTGCTATTTCTTTTGAAAACACCCTCTATAATTAATTAATATAATTCTAGTTGTAGTTACGTCTTTCATGTTTAGCATTTTTTTATCCAATTGTCAATAAATTTTATTAAATAGTATTGGTTTTGGCACTGTGAATGGTAAAGTTAGTTAAAAACACAAAAATAATCAAAAGAAGTAGAGAACATGTCAATAACTGTAAGGTCTGTTTTCGATAGCAATAATGTGAAATTTTAACTCCCTGAAAGGTTTTACTAATCAAAAAATAGAAAAAAAAGAAATCGAAACTACAAGTAATGGACAATTTAATAGTACCATTTTCTGCAAGTTTATTTTGGTATAGATATGTAGGTGCCTAAAAAATATAATGCAGTAACACTGTTTGAGAATGTCCAAATGTTACAAAGAGTTTTCTTGGTGTAGATTGAAATACATAAATCGTACATATCTGTGTTTTATGGAAGTGTATTTAGCCATACCACAACTATAAAATTTTGCATGCAATATGTAGAATAAGCTAAGTTACTCAAATTTCAATAGTAGAAGTTTAAATGTATTTGTATAAATATTACCATTTTATATTCCAGTTGGTTCTGGTTATTAAACATTAAATATATTTTTTTATTGAAAAATAATATTTTACTGACAAAAACCTTGCAATTAAAAACTAATCAAACATAAAAATTTATTTTTTATCATTAATTAATAGAATTTCAATATAATTCAGTTTGTATAAATGAAATGGTAAATAATTACAGCATTAAATATTCATATAATTGAGGAATAATTCTTAATAAATGCAATCGTAAATTGATAGTTGACAACATAATTATTCTTTTTTCTATTCATATGTGCAAAAGTAATTATTTTCTAAGAGCGTAGTCGATGCAGTGATGTTTTTTTCTTTCATAACCCTCATAAAATTAAAGTATCGAGTTTGATTTTTGTTATTAAAATACTAAAATATCTAAATTTGCATAAATCAGTTGATCAATTGGCTTAATTTGAAAATAAATTTAAATAATAACATTTGACAAATGTTCTATGTGGCAGCGACAAGTTTGAATAAAAATTTGTGTTGACATGTGGAAACTAAAAAAAAATAATTTGTTATATTTTCAATTAAAATGAACAAAAAGGTTTACATTTAGTTTAAGTTTCCTTAAAAGTAATTTAAAACATATTTCTTAAAAGATTGTTTTATTCATTAAAATACCCAATTATTTTGTGAATAATATATTTAACAATGGAGGGTCAGTGCTTTATATAAATATTTCTATTGATATATACAGGGTGTTTGTAAATAAGTTATTTTGTGAAAAAAGTTCATATAAACGTAAGTCGAAATGTGCTTTGTTTCCGAGATAGAGAGTATTTAAATTTTAATTATTTATTTATTTTTATTACCTTATTTATTATTATTTTATTACCTTATTACCAAAAAAAGGCACATTTATCCCTCCAAAGCGTTTTTCAAATTTCGAAGCAATATCTTTAAAGCTCTGAAATAATTAATAAAAATAAATAAAAAATTCAAATTTAAACACTATGTATCTCGGAAACGAAGCATATTTCGACCCACGTTTATATGAACTTCTTTTCACAAAATATCTTCGGCAACAGCCCCCTAAAATATTTCGCACTTATTTACAAACACAATAATACTAAGACGTCGTTTGCAGGGTATTCTCCTTGTTTCATGCGGTTTGTCCTTAGAGCTAAGTCTCCTCCTATGTCCTGCTTTGGACATCAGCGCCCTTCTCAGTCCTCCTGGGAAATTTAGTCTTTCGAAGTTTTATTTATGTACCTACAAATTTTTTAGAAGTTATAATGATATGCTTTATTTCTTTTTATAAGTTTATATTCATTTATAATTTTCATGATTTAACAAGTTATAAATAAATCAAATCTAATTAAGATTTTAAAATTATAGTTACAAAGCTCTTGAATAGAAAATATTGTTTTAAAATATGCCTTAAGTAATTATTGCCTTATAAGGTAAAAAAGTTCATTAAAATATATCTTTATGCATTAAAAAATAACATAAGTAGTTAATAATCTCTTTTGGAAGAAAATGAAGAAGTGGCGAAAAATAGTAACTTCAATATTTAAAAAAAATGATGACGGTTCTTATTTTCATGTGGTTTCAATTAAATCCGAAAAATGATATACTTAATTGAAATTCTTGTATTCTTCTTTCTAAATTTTGGTCACCTTAATAACGTGTCACAGCACAAGCAGTTCAGGGATATCGGAAGTATAAAATTAATAAAATAAATTATAACGTCAAGAATCTAAAAAGAATCTGATATTTTTATCCCGAAAGACAAAAAATAGTCTTATTTATTTTTTAAACTAATACCACTTTGTAATAATTTTTCAATGATTATGGAAAGCCTGCATATATGTACCTACATGAAGCCAAATAATTTTGTAATGGTAAACATTAAAAATTATAGTTATAAAACAAAACCTTATTTCATAAATTTTTATACTCTCTTCCTTAATTTTTTTACACTTATAAGTCATTAATTATACTGTTGTTGCTAGGTGTAAAATTAAGTCAATATAAACATTATTGCTGCAATGTAGTGTTTCTTTTCTATATAACATCTCTGTACTTTATTTGATTGAACTGAAATATACAGGGTAAGTTTTTTCGATGTTTAGTGTAGGGATCTGGCAAAGTAGCAGAGATACAAAAAAGCTTAAATGAGGAAAGATGTTGAGTTTTATGGTGCTTATTAAATGTTACTTTTATTTTTTGAAAAAGTCATGGCTGACTAGATATTTGAAAAAATCCGAATATGGCCAATTCCTTCAGATGCGTGTAGCTCCGTTGCTATTTATTTTACAAAAAAATTTAAATTACAAAGTTTCAGGTTTTTGCAGTGTTAATACGATAGTGTGTTCAAATTGTTTGTGTACACTTTCGTTTCCAGGTTATAACAAACTTCAATTTTTTTAAATGTAAACCATATGAGCTAGAAAAAATTGCTTTTTTATGCTTTCCAACGATATAATATTTGGTATTGTTATTTTGAAAAATGGAAGAACTGCAGCCGTTTTTAAATTTTCAATTGCTCGTTGACGTAGATGGCTGTGAAAATAATCGAAATGTTTACTGACAACGCTTTTAGTTACTGTAACATTATTTGATAGAGGAGGAAAAGCGTGATATTATTGAGTGTTATATTCGTTCAGGAAGCTGTTGACAATATTGATAGGCTTTCTGTGAGAAAAGCCTCAAAATCAGTTTCAAAAAGATGTGTCTTGTGCATTAATAATAACGGTGGGCTTTTTGAGCAATTTCGTTAATACCTTTAAAGTAAATAATGGTTTGTTCATAAAATTCTGATAATATTTTTTGCGTCTTTGTCAAGTATTTCATTTACTTGCCACAAATGATTTCCATCATTATAATTTAAATTCTTTATGAAAATAAATCCAGTTGTTACTTATTATTGTTTTATTTAAAATATGCCAGTCGCACACTGCTCGAGTGCCCTGACCTGACACATCCAGAGGTACGCACGAGATGCCGACTTGTTGCGCACTTGCCGAATTGTTCTGACTTTATCCGTTGGATTGCGTATAATTTTCACACGTCATCGAGCAATTGAAAAGTTAAAAATGGCTGCAGTTCTCCTATTTCTCAAAATAACAATGCCAAATATTATATCGTTGGAAAGCATAAAAAAAGACATTATTTTCTAGCTCATTGCTAACTATGGTATATATTTAAAAAACTTGAAGTGTATGTTATAACTTGAAAACGAAAGTGTATACAAACAATTTGATCACACTGTCTTATTAACATTGCAAAAACCTGAAATTTTGTAATTTAATTTTTTTTTTGTAAACTAAATAGCAATGGAGCTACAGACATCTAAAAGAATTGGCCAAATTCGGATTTTTCCAAATATCTAGTCAGCCATGACATTTTTTCAAAAAATAAAAATAGCATTTAATAAGGATCATAAAATTACACGTTTCCTCATTTATGCTTTTTAGTATCTCTGCTACTTTCCTCGATCACTACATTAAACATCGAAAAAACTCGCCCTGTATGTAAAAAGTGAGCATTATATTTATTTTCCTTATAGATGGTTTTAAAGTTCACGTTCAAATTGCTCATAATGACGTTTTCAATATTTTTTATAATTATAGCAATACAATTTGCTGAACATTGATTTAAAATTTTTAATTTAGAATTAGTCAGTTATCGTTTAATGCCACATTCCAGTATACAGCCTTACGAAAAATAAGAATTTAAATTTAAAATATATTCTTTAATGTACTACATATTAAACAATTAATAATTCACTTTAAAACACTGGAACGATTCTGCTGCTGCTATAATTAATAACAAAACTCAATTTTAAGATAAAGTGAAATAATATTACTTTTAGTTATTTTTTGAGAAGTATCTAATATGTAATTGTAATTTTTCTTACAGTTTACTTTGTCAGCAACAAGTTCTGAAAATTAAACAGGTTCATCAAAATAAATTTGCTTTTATATTGAAAAATAGTTTTTATTGCTGTTTCCCCATTAACGCAACCATGGAAAAATTGAAATCAGTTATATATAGTACATAATATACATACAGATGCAGGTACATAATTTTAAGCTTATAAACATTTATCACAATTTTATTAAAGGTGGCTTAAACTCTGAAAATTACCAGGAGTCCCCTTCACCAAACGACTTTTTAATTTCCATATTCCCTAAAACAAAAAAAATTTAATAAAGATATAAATACAGTAACTGTTCTGCAAATATTTACCTCAAAGTTAATATCAGCGCCTCTCCTTTTGGCCACTCCTTCTATTTCAGTTGCAATATATTCCTGTGATGTACCATGCACGTCAATGAAGTAGCAATTGTTAGCTGCATAATGACAAGAGATGGCTTTCCTAAATCCCTAAAATGATTTTTTATACAACAAAGGATACTAATATGGTCTTTAAATACAGGTGCATCACTAATATTTATAATAGTGCTAGATCCGGTATTAGAAATATATACTCTCATCTGTTATTTGATGATGACAAAGGTTATATGTTAGATAATATATACCTGTACATTGATAAATCACAAATGGGTTGCTATCTAAATCGCGTGCCGATACTGTTAAATAATATAAATTCTAATTAACTTTTTTGGATCAACTTCCCCGATTTGTTATTCATAAGAATTGAGCATTGGCTGAGAAAATATCACACAAGGAATTGGAAAAATGTAAGTTGCCCATAAAAATTGAGTATTGGCTGAGAAAATATCACACAAGGAATTGGAAAAATGGAAGTAGGCAACTTCCCCTCAGCACAACTATGAAGTTGCCAGGTATAAACAGGTGAGCAAGCGTTATTAATATACCCTCATCAGTTATTTAATCGAATAATTTGTTATGAAATTAAAGGTTATTTTACTCCCTACCCAACACTATTAGGTTGCCTTACCAAAAGTTTGTCACATCTATGGTTGCTTAGATTTTAGATGTTAAGTTTTGAGTGCGATCGTGGAGAGTGACAGATAAACGTTACAACTAATGTAAAAATGATTTCTTATTTTAGAAAAGTTAATGAATGGCAATATTAAAAATATTGTGGGGTGATGCCTTTACTGTAGGAAATTTAGTAATTTTTATTATTTTAATTTTTAATAGGTATCTAATACTAAGTTTATAATATTGGAAAATATTAAGTTTTAATTTATTAAATATACCTTTGTAAAGTTTGGCCCCGAACCATGTAATAAAATAGGATGAAAAAATACTGTATCTCCTTTATCCATAACCACATGAACCCTTGGAAGGTGATCAAATCCTTGGACTCCATGATACATTGAATTTTTAAATCCCTGAAGCAATTGCATAGAAATAGATGTATAACTTTTTGTTTAATTTTTATTAAAAACTGAAGGATCCAATCCTTAAATCTGCTACGTCAACTTGTAAATTTATTAGATTTATAAAGATAAAGAGAAACCAGAATTTTACATTTTTGTTCATATACAGGGTATTTTGAAAAAAGGCGCCACAAATTCCGTGGTTCGAGGCATCAAAAGTGTTATTTTAAAGTAATATCTAATTAGACTAATTATTTTAATATTGTTAATTTTGAACCACCCTGTATTTTAAAATACAGGGTGTTAATGATAAGTTTTACCGTATTCTACCGATGAAAATAATCAAGTTTTGCCCTATAAAAATTTTTGATAGGACGCCTCCCTACGGAGATATAGGGTGTTAAAGTTTCAAATATTTTATTTTTCCTGCAACTTCACTGGCATAAAAAAATGAGTGATAAAATTTGGAGAATGACATTTTTTAACAGGAACTATTTTTTCATGGATTCCAAGAAGAAAATTCATATTTATACATATAAATGTATGTCCTAAAATGACTGATTGATATTAGAATTTCATCACTCCACCAGGGGCGGACTGTAAGAAGTAGACAATTTTGAAAAAATGGCACTGGCTTCTTCCAATTTTATATAATCCTATTTCAATATGATAAAAAACTTTGTTGGTATTTTTTCATCTGAGACTTAGTTTAATAGAAAAATATAATTTTAGTAGATCGTAGCTAACCTCTTGAGAAATTTTTTCTTAAATTTTACACTTGAATGATAAAACCCCTGACAACAAGGTTTATATCTACTTTAATAAAATGTAGTTGATAAAAAGCAATATTGGAAGTTAGCTTATTTTGGCAGTCAATAGAATTTTTGTCAAAAATGGTGCATTTTCAGCAATTTGAAAAGGAATATCTTCTTTGTGTAAAACGAAATTTTACATTGTAATAGAAGATAATACCACGCAGGAATTTTAATTTCAAAAATGCTATACAGTAAATATAAGTTTTGCCAAACTTTAACGGCGTATATTGTACTGAAAATAATCAACTTTTGTTCTATAAAAATTTTTGATAGGACGCTTCCCTACGGAGATACAGGGTGTTAAAAGTTTCAAATATTTATTATATTATTTTTCCTGTAACTTCATTGGCAAAAAATATTTAGTGATAAAACATGGGGGATGACATTTTTTTAGTAGGGACTATTTTTTCATGGATAACTTATTCCAAAATACACTACAGTGGCGTAGTTATTGGGGGAGTAGGGGACCTTTTAAAAAAAAATCGTACGCCACTGGTTTTTTAAATAATTTTAAATGTTTTTAAAATGTACAATCAATTTGAACCAATAAAATATTCTTGTATGTAAAGTATTCGTTAAATTTACTGGTCTTTAGATAATTGTGAAATCAAATAAGAAGATACTTAAGTACCTACTTACATTGCTATTTACCATTTTCTATTGATTGCTAAATGTGTAACAATAAATTCAATACCTAATATTTTTGAGAGATTTCAAAACACTATACAACATCACAAGAAATGTTCAAAATGCTGTCTTTGATATGCAATACATGCTGCGCAGCGTCTCCGCAATGATCAACTTACATGCCTCATAATTCCAGCCGTATTGTGTATGGTTGCGAAACCCTCTACAATGCACTGTCGAAGTACTTCTACATTGGGAACTAGAGTACGATATACCATAGTTTTGAGGTAGCCCCAAAATAAGTAATCCAAGGGATTCAGGTCGGGGGAACGAGCTGGTCAAGCAATGGGTCCTCCTCTACCAATCCAGTGAGTAGGATACTGATTATTCAGCAACTATCTAACGGTAAGGCCATAATGAAGTGGCGCCCCATCATGCATATACCACAATAATTGACGTAACCTCAAGGCACTTCTTCTAGAAGTGGTGGTAATTCTTCTTGTAGGAACCTTTGACAAGTTCTACCATCGAGGGTTCTGGGTAAAAAGTAGGGACCAATCAAGTAATCACCCACAATGCCTGCCCAAGCATTAAGAAAAAACTGTTCTTGTAATCGACGTTGAGAAATAATATGCCGATTTTCATCCGTCCATTGGTGGTTATTATGATGACAATTCCATATGGGTTCCCTTGTAAATTTCATTTCAACGGTAAATAATATTAATAACTGAAAATCAGGCTGTTCGCATTGTTGTAAAAACCACTGACAAAATTCAATCCTCGGTTGAGTCATTTTCTGTAATTGCTGCTCACGTAAGACGTTCTAGATTGTTACATGTGATACGTCCAAATCTTTTAATATCTATCTGGTGCTGGTAGATGGCTCTTCATCTACAGATTCCAAAATTCTGTCTTCCAAATGAACTGTATGAACAGATCCTTCTCTTGCTCGACATTTTGGTAGCGACAAACATGCAGTTTCATGAGTTCGACAGTGAATACTTGAAAAGTATTCCTTGTTGGACAACATTGATTTGGAAAAGTCTGTCTATGAAGTCGTTCAGCTTGTCTATCATTGCCATTCGCTCTACCATATGTAAAATGTATATATGCTAATTCAATATTTGTATAATTGGATAACATATATTTTTTTTATTAAAATCTGTTTCTAGTTGTATGAAAAATAACAAACTCTTTGCAACACACAAAACAGTGGCGTTGTATGGTGTTTTGAAATCTCTCAAAAATATTATTATATTTTATTTCTACAAATTGATTGTACATTTTAAAAACATTTAAAATTATTTAAAAAACAGCGGCGTACGATTTTTTTTCAAAAAAGCTCCCCTACTCCCCCAATAATTACGCCATTGGAGTGTATTTTGGAATAAGTTATCCATATAATAAATAGTCCCTACTAAAAAAATGTCATCCCCCATGTTTTATCACTAAATATTTTTTGCCAATGAAGTTACAGGAAAAATAATATAATAAATATTTGAAACTTTTAACACCCTGTATCTCCGTAGGGAAGCGTCCTATCAAAAATTTTTATAGAACAAAAGTTGATTATTTTCAGTACAATATACGCCGTTAAAGTTTGGCAAAACTTATATTTACTGTATAGCATTTTTGAAATTAAAATTCCTGCGTGGTATTATCTTCTATTACAATGTAAAATTTCGTTTTACACAAAGAAGATATTCCTTTTCAAATTGCTGAAAATGCACCATTTTTGACAAAAATTCTATTGACTGCCAAAATCAGCTAACTTCCAATATTGCTTTTTATCAACTACATTTTATTAAAGTAGATATAAACCTTGTTGTCAGGGGTTTTATCATTCAAGTGTAAAATTTAAGAAAAAATTTCTCAAGAGGTTAGCTACGATCTACTAAAATTATATTTTTCTATTAAACTAAGTCTCAGATGAAAAAATACCAACAAAGTTTTTTATCATGTTGAAATAGGATTATATAAAATTTGACCAGTGCCATTTTTTCAAAATTGTCTACTTCTTACAGTCCGCCCCTGGTGGAGTGATGAAATTCTAATATCAATCAGTCATTTTAGGACATACATTTATATGTATAGTTCTTTTCATACTTATAGTAGACATAAAAAATTTCAACGCCTGCCGGCAAGTGTGATAGGGGGAGAGTAGGGCAAGACAATTTTTAAATATTCGTAGAAAATAAATGTTATAACAGCTAATTTATTTCACAAATCATAATGCCCTTATCAGGTATACTCATCTAGATAAATTGAATACAAAATTAATGAGAAATAAAGTGATATTAATTACATATTTTCAATTCAATTTAAAGGTTGCTCCACTTTACCCTAGGTGGGCAGGATCTTGAATCGCCAGACGTGAGCCCTGTGTTGCCGATATGTAAAAATATTCCCTAATTGCTAAATTGAATGAAATTAATTTATTCAGATATTTACGTTTAAAATATTAAGTTATGTTCTGAAAGTATAATAATATGCTGAATTTGCATACATTTATTTAAAGAATAATTGCTTTATTCACTTCATTTTTGCAATATATGTTGTCCATCTTTAGTATAATACTAACTCGCAAAAACATTTGGCAACACAGCTGGGCTGGCAACAAAACAGATTCTGAACATCTCTCTAAGACGTACGTTGTTCTCAAATCCCTAATGTGAGACAGAGACAATCAACAATTACACACGGTGCACTTATTACTTTAAATTTCTGATAGTTCAATTTGCGCGGTACAGGGCAGGAGTTGGTGCTGCAATGCTGTCATTCTTATTTCTTAGAATAGAGTTTTGAGTAGTGATTTTTGTTTTGTTACAAGTTTTTTATTGGATAACTTTTGTAATTCACTACAATTGTTTTCAATTTACAGCCATTGTGTAGTAGTGTTTGTTGTGAATTGTTTGAAGGGAGACTTAAATATTATATTCTGTAAACTTTGCCTACATAGGATCCTGTTCTGCTAGGCAGACAAGTATTTACGACCCCGTTTTTGTCTTTATCGGCAATATAAAAGAGTTTTTTATTTCTACAATATATATGAAAAGAACTATATAAATATGAATTTTCTTCTTGGAATTATCTGAGGAATTAATTGCATTTATGTTTACGAGGATGGTCTGAAAAGTTTCCGACCTCAACATGAAGATGGCAGCACTCGTAAATAAAAGCTAGTGAATTTCGTTGTTGACAGATATCATAGATAAATGATACTATAGATAGGAAACTTGAACAGATTACGTGGTCACTAACAGCGCTAACTGTTGACACTTTCTCCAACTTCTATTGCTTTCCTTTTCTAGGAATTATCGGTAATACAGTGAGTTAAATTACCTGTAGCCGGTAAAAGATGCAAGCGCCATCTAGTTGTACGCTCTACAACTATATACCTACCTACTCAATATTTGTTTTAGGTATTCTGCCGCCGCTAAATTTAAAATTACATAACAAATCTCACCCTACACAGATCACTCAGAAATTGATTTTGTAAAATAATTTTCACGTAGATAATTTTTTTTGTCACCATGAGAAAATAAGTACATTTGATAAAAAGCATTAAAATCACTCAAGCATTAAAGACACTTTTAAATGCTCTAATAGTCTTCCTACTTAAAATAAGAAATAATTTTGATACTGTAACTTTTTAAAATGTTTGTTGAAAAAATTTCAAATTTCAGTACATATTTTGAAAAAAAAAGAGTGAAAATGATTATAGAGTTTCAGTGCTTTCTATATTGTATTAGCTTTCACGGTGAATAAAAAAATATTACAAGTAAATAATTTTACTAAACCAATCTGATTAATTCTTGTAATAGAGATTTATTATGCAACTTTAAATTTTTCGTTGTGTTGATATCCATAAAAAACTTCCTTCCTTTTGTTCCCTTTTTTTTTTAAAAAAAAACAAAACATTTTATTATTAATAAAAAAATGTGATTATATGATGATCAGTCATTATTATGTTATATAAATAAATGTGAATGAAATATCTAATAAAACACACTAAAAACACAAATAAAACACAGACCAGCACTCGCCAAACCTAACCAACAATAAACTTAAACAGCATGAATGACATGAAATGATTCATAATTGCAATTGTCAAAATTTATTCTACAAAATCTTTGTGGCGACATCTATAGACTCTTTCCCCAACTTGTATATCCATCTCAAGTCACGTGGTTCCCAGAGTGTCCCCATATTTTCAAGTATAAGTTCTCGGGCTCTGGTTGACAGTTACTCACCAAAGTTTCAGCCACTTTGGACGCGCGGTTGTTATGTAACAGTCGTTTGAGTGAGTTGATGTGAGTGTTTTTATGAAAATGGACAAAATCGAGTATCGAGTTGTCATTAAATATTTGTTTTTGAAAGGCAATACGCCTACGCAAATCAAAGATGAGTTGGATTCTGTGAATGGGGACTCTGCACCATCATTTACCATAGCGAAATTTTGGGCAGCCGAATTTAAACGTGGCCGTAAGAGCTTGGGAGACGTTCGGGACGTCCAAAAACTGCAGCTACCGACAAAAACATCGCCAAAGTTCACCAAATGGTGCTAGACGACCGCCGAATTAAAGTGAGAGAGTTAGCAGAGGTTATGAACATGTCAAAAGAACGTGTTTGTCACATATTAAATCAACATTTAAACATGAGAAAGCTGTCCGCGCGTTGGGTGCCGCGTTTGCTCACGTTAGACCAAAAACGTGTTCGAATGAACATTTCCAACGCTCTGTTGGCGCAGTTTAGGCGCAATAAATCCGAGTTTTGGCGCCGATTAATTACTGTAGATGAAACTTGGATACACCATTATACGCCCGAAACAAAAATACAGTCCAAACAGTGGACTGCAAAGGGGGAACCGGCTCCAAAAAAAGCAAAAACTGTTTTTTCGGCTGGGAAAGTGATGGCGACTGTTTTTTGGGATAGTCATGGAGTTATTTTAATCGATTATCTTCAAAAAGGAAAAACCATTACAGGAGCATACTACGCATCATTACTTGACAAGCTGAAGGCAGAACTTGCGGAAAAACGGCCACATTTGCAGAAAAAGAAAATCCTGTTTCACCAAGACAACGCACCGTCTCACACCTCAGCGGTTGCCATGGCGAAAATCCACGAATTACGGTTTGAACTGCTTGACCATCCGCCTTACTCACCAGATCTAGCCCCAAGCGACTTCTTTTTGTTCCCTCATCTAAAAATTGCGCTCGGAGGACAGAGATTTTCGTCAAATGAAGAGGCAATCACCTTCGTGAACAATTATTTTGCAGAGAAAAACGCCGAGTACTATTTGGACGGGTTACAGAGATGGGAGCATCGCTGGGAGAAGTGTGTAGAGTTACAAGGAGACTATGTTGAAAAATAAAAAAAAAAATTCTGAAAAAATGTCTTGTATCTTTGTTAGGTCGGAAACTTTTCAGACCACCCTCGTATTTAAAGATCACTTTGGAAATATTCTGTTTACGCATTGGTACCTTAAAACGAGGCTTCCTCAAAATATACCATTTGCAGCCATTTTAAGAGTACCGTTTTTGCAAAATGAAATTTTTCTTTGCTATTTGTGGACGGAAATGTTTTTGAACATTTACTGTAATTTTTTAAAGTATATATTCATTTGGAGTTTTGGTTGTTGACATGTATTTTTAAGAATTAATTTGTCATAATAAAATTAAAATTGTAATTATGTTTTAATATTGACACATCATAATGTAATAAAATTTCCAGGGCCGTAATTAAAAAAATTAAGTTGATGATGGTATTGGAAAGACGAAACGTTACATATAAAAATTGATTATGCCATTCGATAGAGGGCAAAAAGTTGCCATGAGAAAGTGTTCTTCTTTTTTTAATGTCCCTTCTAACAAGGCTGAAATGAAACAAAAACGGATTTTCAAAATTTCGTTTTTTTTTCAAATATTTCGAAAACTAATCATGTTCGCCTTGATTTTTTAGAGGCATAATGTTGGTCCCCTGATTACGCAACTTTGCCCCAATTTAAGCTAATTCGTATATTTTACCGTTTCCGAGATCCCTGTAGTAAGAAGCGAATTTGTAACAGCCTGTATATTTACATCTTCAAAAACTTCAAATCAAATTTCAATGCAGTATTTTATTTTTTGAAAAAGTTATGACCAAAATTTGATTTTAAAGATAATCTTTAACATTATTTCTCTCAAAAACAATATCCATATATCTGCCTCCGATTTATGATATTTTTTTCAAAATACCCTGTATTTGAAATTAGCAGACAGACAGAGGGTGTTTCACAGAAAAGTAGAATCCATGAAATGAATGTAAAAATTAATATTTTCAGCAAGTACCTACATATTGTCAACAAAAATAAGTTCTACCTTAGGATATTCATGGTTGTAAAGAGTTCCCTGATGTGACCCTGGTACAACAAAAAGGCAACCATTTTTTTCTTCAACTCTTTCTACAGCCGTCCAAGATGCGACTATTTTGTTAGGGGGTCGAAAAGGAAAATAATGTAAATCCTGCAATACGTATAACATAATATACATAGTATTATTATTTAAACAAACAAGATAAATCTACTAGGTATGGTATTTGAATATGTGTGAAAGATAGTTCTCAAATCAATTAAATATCAACATTAAGGTCTGGTACTTTCAGTGTCAGTTACGGCTTGACTAACTAATCAGGCGATTAGGCTGTGATTATATTTTATAAAATAAATCAGTATATGTACAGTCTAATCGTCTGATCAGTTAATCAAACTTTAACCGAGACTCAAAGTGCCGGACCTAACTAAATTAAAATAATCTTTACAATTTTAGAACATGATCTAGCTTGCCATATATAATGGTAGCTTTACAGAACTTGATATAGTAATTTCTACATTTGGTACTTATAAAAATGTTAATAATTCTACATTTCCGTAGATTTGATTGGGGGGGGGGGGGCAGAACATTTCTTAAAGCATAGCTTCTACACTGACTGTTTTATAACTGTTAAAGCTTTGTATACGTAGTTAAAGCAAAACATTAAAAAATTACTATTGTATTTGTACATACTTTGTAGTTAAATCCATAATAACGTTTGAACGTTCATTTGAATTTTCCAATTCAATTGAAGCTTGCCTGGTCTGCCAGGTCCATAAAGATCCACCAGATTATTTAACTTTCAAAATTATTAGAGAATTGCTGTTATTAACAAAATACGATTACATCTAAGTGTGATTTTCTTAACTTTAGCATCCTCTATTTTGGAAATGCAACGCGTATTGACAATTTATTTATTTGAACTACCACCACTAATGTTCCTCATAAAGTTTAGTGCATGAAGTTTGGCCTATCATACATAGACACACTATTAAATCATCAAAACATTAATATGTCAGAAGTGTCAGAACAATGTTTCAACAAATGTTTAAGGCATGTTACTAACATGTGTCCTAAGTTTAAAAGAGAAAATATTACCTGATGCAAGGGATGTAAAGATGCTCCAGGATCAGCATTTGGTGGTTTATTAATAAACATGGAATGTACTGCTGTAATATTAGACCCTATAATACCCTCTACAATGTTTACTACTGCTGAATCACTACAGTACTGCCAAAGTACATCATCATATAGAAAATCTTGAAGCTGAAACATGTTTTATCTATGGCACAATTCTGTTTTTTTCCCTGCATATTAGGTTATTTGGCCACATGTGAAAACAATTTCAGTTATTACGGGTTTATTAAAATTAACTCATAGTAATCTAGAAATAGCAATCTCTAAAACCGTAAGAATGACGAGGACAAAGATTTGAGTGTCCGGAGGGAGAGAATTTTCGTAAACCCCTATTAATTAAACTTTTGCGTTGAAATGAGCAGCGTCTTTGAAACTAGTTTTGTCTAGTCAAAAATCTCACACTGAAAAAGACAGACAAATAAAAAAGAAAAACTGGGCATCTCTTTACATTTCAGCAATAGTATTTAGGTATTTACATTTTCAAAATTGCAATTAACCCTGGTAGCAAAATCTTGCACAAGACACTTATACAAAACTGCTGTGTACCTACTGCTGAAATCAGCATTAGGTTTACTGCAAGATTCATTGTGCAATTGTCTTGATCAAAGCTTTCAATGGATTTGATTCAGGGCACTTGAGCACAAAGGGGTAAATTAAAGCAAGTGACTATGTTGCAGACTTACATTAGAATTAACATATTGTACTTGACTTATACTAATTCACCCCTTTGGACTCAAGTACTTTTGGTTAAGGTGGCCATATCCCTTGCCGAGAAATGGTGAAATTTCTGGCATTTTTAGGTACTGAAATCTTGAAAAGTAAAACGTGTAGAACAAAAGTAAGCACAATAATAAAATCCTTGATGTTTTGTTTATTCATTGTTACCATTTAAATATACCCAAATAAAATAATAACTAAAAAAAAGCGTTTATAAAACATGCGTTTTCTGTTATCCTAACCCCACATTTTAAGAATTATTTTCACGTACTTATAAATAAAAGTAAACAATTTTATATGTAGGACTAAGCAAGTAAATGTTATAAGAATATTTACATGTGGAATTATATATAAAAAAGTTAGTATTTTCGTAGATTTCAGTACCTAAAACCTTGATGGTTTGATCGTTTTTTGCACCTGTTTATTCGTTTTACTGCGGCGTCTTTGAAAATACTCAGGTGGCATGACATAACATTCCTATTATTTGATAAGCTTTAGATTATTCAGTTATTAAATGTTTGAAATTATTTGTCTTTGCGGAAAACACTATTTAAAGAATATGGGGCCCTTAAGTCTGGTGCAAGTATTGTAAAAGTATATTGCATACGAAACGATATAAATTTCGGCAATAGACCCAAAACAATCTGATACAATTTGGCTATTTCAAGTAAACTTGAAACAACTTGTGTTAGAATTGCACACAATTGTGCTACCAGGGAAGGTTTCTTTTTAAATAAATTTAGCAGTTAAATTTTGTTTGTAGAATTTAGTAAAACATTTGAAAAAGTAAAGTAACATTAAAGGAAAATTTACAAAAAAACAGGATTGTTTTATTAAACAGTGAAAGGTCATGTTTTGAAATATTTAATGGATTTGAATCCTTGTTGGCTGCAAATATTTAATAAACTATGTAATAACAGAATAAATATTGTTACAGTTTATGTTTTGTGCAAATGAAGTCTCTGTCTATGGAAACAGGTAAACAAACAAAATTTAGACTACTAAATTTACTTAAAAAAAAATAAGTTGCTATTTTGAAAACGAAACTAGTGATGAAATAAATAGTGATACGAATTTCTCAGCTGAAAATTTCGGCTAGTCAAAAATAGTCTCATAAAGCAACCCCTGACTGATCCTATTGGCGCAAGGGTTTATATTTAATTCATTTTTATGTATTCTTCACAGGTGACTTAAATAAACGGAGAAAAATAAAGATTTTTAATGTACATTTTTTTATTATAACTAATTCGTCACAAGGCCAATAAACATTAATTTAAAATGTACCAGTCTTGCGTATACAGGGCTGGAAAATCCACATGGTCCGTCTGCCTTTACATGAGAGCGACAAAGTAAAGTAAAGAAATCCGTGTGATAGACAAGGATGGCTATGGCTATATTGAAGACGTTTCATAATCTGAATAGTCACCGCCCGTTTCGGGTTAGAACTATTCAGATTATGAAATGTCTTCAATGTAACCATCCTTGTCTATCGCACGGATTTCTATGAATTACTTACTTTATCGCTCTCACGCAACGGCCGATGTACAATGGAGACTTTCCGAACCTGTAGATACTTATTAAACTTAACGGATGTTAGAAGAATCTGCTCCATCTGCCTTTCTATGCATGAAAGAGATGCATAACCTACATATTTCTATTTAATTAAAGTTAACTGTGAGGTTTCTGATGAGTATGATTTAAAACACAAATAAAAATATACGATTATGGAATCATTATCATATATTTATATACAAAAATATTCCTAGACGTGTAGATGGCACTGCGATCAATTCATTTCTGAACCTTTTGTAAAATAAATAATTTTCGAAAAGTAATTGGCATTGTAGAACCTGAAAGTATATTTTTATAGTTATATTGATTTCCATAAAATTAATTTGTAATAACAGGTGCTTTGGATTTTTTTCATAGAAAAGTTGTGCCGTTTAAAATAGTAATAAATAAATTATCGAGTTTAATGATTGATGGGAAATTGTTTGACTGAACCGAGAGACGTTTATCAAGTAATTATTATATTATATTATACCTGTTTTTCTGTTTATGGAACAATAATATCAGTTTACCACTGTTTAGTCGAAAGGTACCTATGTAATATTTAAATTAAACAATTGATCACATTTTATTTATTTTATTTTTATACCTACTTTGAAAAGAAACATGAAATGAAAAACAAAAATATGTACTATTTGGAATTTTATTTCAACAGTAGCTTTCTTAAAAATATGAAGAATAGCGCGAAACCCGAAATAGGATTTAAAGTTTCATTATCTTTCTTCAATTGGAATAGCTAAAGGATGGACATAGTTCTGAATTATGTATAGTTCTAATAAGTAAGTAAGTAAGTAAGTAAGCAAGCATACCCATCCCATAACTTCTAGTCTGTATCTTGAAAACGATGCATCTGCGGACCAATGTTTATCTGAACTTTTTTTATTAAAATCACTCATATAATATCATCTTTACTTACATTATCAAACAGAAAGACGCTTTAATTTCTGAATTAAGAGAGAAAATTGATTTGCTAAATGTGCAAATCGATCTCCTAAATAAATTATCAGTAGCACCTCATGGGAATCTACAAAAAGATATACCAAAAACTGTATATAAAGCCAGGCTATCGGAAAAACAAGAGGAAGTAAAAACCATTAAAAACACACCTAAAAACACACCTAACAAAAACCCACCCAAGGTTAATGTCAATGAACTGAGTGATGTCAATAATAAAAAAGGAAATCCCAATTTACAGAGGAGTCAAGTTTCAGCCGAGATCTTAAAGGTACAAACTCAATTAAAGTGTCAGGATATAATTAATCTGGCTACTGATGACAATAGCCCTATGTCCCAACACGAATACAACCCAACACAACCAGCTAAGCAGGAAAAGTGGGAAAAAGTTCCTTTTAAATCTAGACGTCGCCGACGGACGGTTATTGGAAACAACACGGACACCTCCATTAAAGGAGTCAAAAAAATGGTTCATATTCACGTAAGCCGAATAAATAACCAAACTTCGCCCAGTGATTTGTGCCAACTACTTGAAGTGTCGTTTCCAGAAGTGATTTGTGAAGTTATAAAACCCAAACACCCCAATTTGTACTCTTCCTTCAAAGTGTCTGTTTATGAGACAAACTTTAAAAAAGCTATGCAACCAAGCATATGGCCAGACGGCGCTTGTATAAGTAAGTTTTTTCAAAAAGTAGCACCAATGAAATCCATAAAATGATATTTAACCCTGATGTCCTTGTATTAAATGTTCAGAGTTTGAATGCACAATCGATTAATTCTTTAGAAATTGATATCTCAAACTTTTATCAAATAAAATTTTTGTGTTTTTCAGAGACTCATTGTAACAATGAGTCAATCAAAGCTAAATATATCAGTGACTTTTCTTTAAGTAGTTATTACTGTAGAAATACATTTGAAAAAGGTGGTGTTGCCATATATTCACGAAGTAGTTTGAATGCTCATTCTATCAATTTAAGCCAATTCTGTATTGACAGACATTTTGAAATATGCTGCACCTCGTGGAAGACAGACCTATCCACTGTGCTTATCATGTCCTGCTATAGATCACCTAGTGGTGATATAAATTTATTTATTGACAGAGTGTTTGCTGTTATGGACTATTTGTATAAGCCTGGCATAAGTATAATTTTAACTGGTGACTTTAATTTGGATTCTACTCTGGGCTCTAGGACTATTAATGATTTTAATAAAGTGTGCAGTGTCCTCAGTAATTTTAATTTGTTTGCGGTGGTAAGGTGGCCTACCCGTGTAACTAACACTTCTTCAACCATTATCGATCATATATTCACTAACATCGAAAATAATTTAGTGTGTGTTTTGGACAATGTTATATCAGATCATAGAACTGTGTTATTTGAGTCCTCCAGTAGCCAGAATTGTAACGCTGTACGTACCTCCCAGTTCAGAAGGAGTTTTTCTGAACATGCTATAAAAAATTTTCGTTTTGATCTGCAAAAAGAGTTGTGGTCAGAATTGTATCACGTGCCTACTATTGACAAAGCATTTAGCACCTTTTTTGATGTGTTCATATTTTATTTTAATAAACATTTCCCACTAAAAAAATTCTATAATAAATGTACTACAACCAATAAGAAGTGGGTGACGGACGAGGTTAAACTATCCAGTGTAAAATTGAAAGAGTTGTATACTCATAAATTTGATAACCCCAAAAATTTTGAAAAATATAAGACTTCTAGAAAAGCTCACACGCAGTTAATTGAGAAAACTAAAAAAGAATATTACCAAAATAAAATTATAAACTCTGATAATGTAGGCAAGGCTGCTTGGGGTATTATATCTGAGCTTTCAAATAAAAATAAAGTACATCATAACAAAAATATTATGTTGGATGGTAAACTCTGTGAAGATCCTTTTACCATATCTTCGTGTTTTAATAATTATTTCAAAAATGCTCCTATCCATATAACAAATAATATACGTACAAGTAAACCCTTCAACTTTGATTTTCATATTAAAAGCTGTTCACTTTTTTTGGAACCTTTTGTAAAGGAGGAAATATTTTCTCTACTAAAATATAAACTTAAACGAAAACATTCCTCTGGATCTGACGACATTCCCATGTTCCTGGTTAAAGAGGTTATGGATTGTATTCTTGAACCAATCACTTACCTCGTTAATTTATCCTTTCTAACAGGTTCTTTTCCAAAAATGTTAAAAGTGGGGAAAGTCATTCCTATTTATAAGAAAAACGATCCACAATCTATGGAAAATTATAGACCTATTACAGTCCCGCCGGCCTTTTCTAGAGTGTTTGAATATTGTTATTTGGAACGGTTATTGAAATTTGTTGCAAAACATAAAATTTTTTCTGACCATCAACATGGTTTTCAGTCTGGGAAGTCGACTAGTACTGCCTTGCTTGACTTCTACCAGAGTGTGTTACAATATATTGAAGTGGGCGAGTCCCCCATTGGTATATTTTGTGACGTTAGTAAAGCTTTCGATTGTGTCAATCATGAGAAGTTGCTTTTAAAACTTTATAACTATGGCATACGAGGAGTTGCTAATGATTGGGTGGCATCTTTTTTAAAAGAACGTGAACAATATGTTTGTCTCGCTTACTCGGGTAACAGCGTTTTGTCGCAGGTTAGTTCTGAGCGGGTAGATATTAATATGGGGGTTCCTCAGGGGTCTATATTGGGCCCTGTCCTTTTCTTACTATATACAAATGAGTTTGACAAAGTTGTTTCTGATGCCTCGTCCGTCATGTATGCAGATGATGCATCATTATTGGTTTCTGGTAACTCAGACGAGGCCTTGCGGCTCAAAACCAATGCTTTACTGAAAGATGTGGGTGCGTGGTACGCTTCTAATGATCTTTTTCTGAACACAAATAAGACTCAAGTAATTAGGTTTCATAACCGACAAAAAAATTGCTGCAATATTAATGTAACTTTTAATGGCTCAGATTTATTGAAATGGGAGATGGATATAAAATTTTTGGGAATAACGATCGATGAATGCTTGACATGGAGGTCTCATTGCACTCAGCTGATATCAAAACTAAATTCCGTCAGCTATCTGATAAGAAGTTTAAAACCTGTGTTAACCTTGTCACAGTTAATAACAGTATACAACGCCCAAGTCAGTTCAAGATTGCGGTACGGAGTTGTCCTCTGGGGAAATTCCACCTTATCACCGGATGTATTTGTTGTCCAGAAACGAATTTTAAGGAATATGGCGGGAATTCCCAGTCATATGTCATGCAGAAATGTTTTTAGAAAGTTTAATATTTTAACTGTTGTGTCGTTGTTTATTTTTGAACTTGCTGTATATGTTTTCAAAAATGTTTCTAACTTTATACTGAACGAAAATATACATAACAGAGACACTCGACAAAATAAAAATTTCCACCTTCCTTTTTTTAAATATAATGTGTCTTTAAATTCACCTTTTTATCTGGGCCTAAAAGTTTATAATAAATTGTGTTTGGATATAAAAAGAGCACAAAGTCTCACAATCTTTAAAAATAGGCTGTACCGATATCTGGTAAACAGTACATTTTATACATTGAATGAATTTTTTTCTAATTAATGTATGTTGAAATTGCAACTATTGTTTAGTATGTAGTAAGTAGGTTAAGGTATCTTGCTGTATGACTATTCCTATACAATGTCTTTTGTCTTTGAGGAAAATAAAGCTTATTATTATTATTATTA